TGGCCACGCACCAGAGACGGCGAGAGTTTTCCCGTTGACTTCGTGGGAAAGGGCCGAAGGGCAGAATTGAAAGGAAAAGGCGTCGAGCCGCAGGACAGCGTCACCTCCCAAAGAGCCGAGGGCCAGCTGGGTGTTTTACTTCCCAATTTGGCACGAGGCTAAAAATCTGACAAGACAGTCGTTAGGCTCCATATAGGGCACGTGTCATTTAAAGCTGTTTCTCTCCCTTCCTCGCTCGCGGGCAGCGGCTCTTGTCCCCAGACGCTGCCGGCCGCTCTTTGGGACGGGTGCGGAGACGCAGGCTGGCAAAAACGCTGCCTTTTCTGGGCTTCGCTCCCTTTTCGCGTTGGCTCCAATCTGGCCGCTCTTTTGAGACAGCCGCTTGTCGTCTCTGTCCCCTGGGCCGTTTTAGGTGCCTTTCAGCCTCTCCACCTGAAGCAAGGGGCGGCACGCTCCAAAAAAGGGGACCGGCCTTTCGTTGCCGTTTTCCCCGTCCGCCCAAATGGCTGTGCGCTGCCTCCCCGTCCCTTTGTATTTGAGTGCAGTATGCACAGTGTTGCGCGTACGCAGCGGCGTCGCTTGGTTGGGTCGCTCTTCACGCTCGCTGTCAGCAGCTGGTAGGTTATTATTGGTATTAAGCGAGTGGGCAGCATGTAAAACGCGGATCAGGCAAGAAGGTGTGAGTGTTATTGCTTGGTGCCAGAGAAAATACAACCACAGCAGCGTAGACCTGCTGTGGAATTTGTGCTGGTGCTTTCCTTGGATTAAGTGAAGCCTCGTTCAAATGGGACGAATTTGCCAGGACAGACGTTTCAGAAGCAGAATATGGACATTTTGGGGGCCGACAAAAGAACAATTAGTATGAAAGTGTGTTTTTACAGACATAGCTGAAATGGCATGTAGCTGCAGATGACGTTTTGATTTATTATGTATAAAACTGTCCGTGCCCATGTTTAGAAGTCTGATGATTTCTCTTACACTGTCAAGAAGAAAATTCTTGGAAAAAGAGTGTAAAAAGCAACTGGAGCTATTTTGCACCCATGTAGTAGTAAGTTTTCCTATTTTTAGTGCAAATTAAAACAATGTGAAGGCAGCAATCCTTAGAAGCGGTGCTGGGATAAGAAGGCCCTGCTTTAGAAACATGCTATACGTTTTAAAAAAACAAATAGCCGCTTTGTATCTGGATGGGAGGCCTCTTAATGGGCTTGGCCGGGCTTCAAATACCCCTGCTGCTTCTTCCCGGCCCGCTTCCGAGTTACTGCTGCGCAGCAGCTCCGGGTTTAGTTTCGCCAGTGTTTTGGGTCCCGGGGCTGGGGACCTG